CCAGCCCCGCGACCTCTGAACGCAGGGACTGCCATCAGCAGCACCCCGCTAATTTTCACCACAGGCACAGTGCGAAAGAGGAGAGGCTCCCTCTGCAGCAGTCCAGACCCTGTGCCATGGGGGATGAGAGAGACTGAAACGGCAGCTGGGTGCAACAGGGGGAAAACTTCCCCAGGATTTCAAGCAAAAGTTCTCTATTCACGTCTCCGTGCATCAGAAAGGGGACCGATCCCCCAGCGAGTGGAACCAGATGCTGGACAACTGTTTGCAAGATCTTGAAGGGCAAAAAGCAAAGGAGCCCTCACAAACCTTAGAGCGCAGGTGGAATGGGCTTCCACCCAGACATGCCCGATCTGCTCAGGAGGGAAGTGAGAAGGAGCTTCTTGCTGGCCTTCACTAGCTGAAGGCAGAGGGTTTCCAGAAGGGCGAGACGGTACAGACCAGCTCTTTGGCTTCTGGCACTTGCCAGACCCCACCAAGCCCAGACCTGCCTTGGCTAGGGAGCTTTAATCACTTAAGTGGCCCAAAAAGCCTCATTGTGAAGAATCTTCCACAAGCTCAAGCTGCCTGGCACAACCCAGGGACTGCTTCCCAGGCATGCGTTTCCCATTAAGCCTCTGCATGACCAGCTTGCTCGCTGCCACTCCGACGAGCCAAGACCAGGCTAAAACTAGAAGCCGAACGTGTTGGTAGATGGGCCGCAGTCGCCGGCAGCGCTGGCGGCACACACGCAGCCTCCCCAGCCCATAGCAGCAGGGTCCAGAACGCTCCTCTTGACCTGGACGACCCAACGGCTGCACCATTACATAAACGATCGGTTAATGGGAAACACAGACCACTTCACGAGGCTTACGCTTTCTGGTCAGCAGCATCTGCAACTGCCTCTGGGCATCGCAGCCACCTCGCAGCAGATGCACGTGGATTTGGGGGCAGGATTTCAAGCGAGCTACTGAAAAGAAGCCCTAAGCCTCTGGTGCGACTGGGAGCAAAGCCTAGTGCTGCCGGAGCCATCCAGCCCCAGGAAACACTGGGAGGAGGGAGAAAGCCCTCTGGAAAACTCGCGGATATTATTTCACAAGGGCTGACTTTATGCTCCACGTCATCCGGATGGAATTTTTGCACCGTTGCCTTCGAGAGGGCCGGGAAACGGGCTCTCCAGCCCACCCCACCCGCACCCCCACCACGAGCGCTAAGGCCAGGCTTTAGCTGTTTCGTTCCCTCCCATGCCTAAGGAGCTGCCTCTCCACCACAGCCCCCTAAGAAGCCAGCAGCAGGGGGAGGCAGGTGGCAAGCGACCTGCTCTCCCCCATGGACGGGCCCAGCAGTCCGAAGTCAGCACCTCTTGCTAGACTAATATTTGCAAAGCTTCCCCTTGGATTTTAATAGCAAATGAGCTGTTCCGATTCTTCCTCCAGAGCCGAGAGGCAGCTGTCCTGCCCAAAGCCCTAGTTACAGGCCGTGCCCAGCTGCCAGCACGCAAACAGCCCCGACAGACCTGAGCACACGTGGCCTTGGTGCAGACTTCCTGGGGCCAGCCCCAAAGGTCCTCCTTCAGCCTCCTATCCCCAGAGCAAGGCATGGAGAGCTCCCTATGCCCTGCTGTGAAGCCCTTGGGGCCGTGTCACTGCTCAGGTGCCCCAGGACCTTCCAGGAGGCCAGTCCATCAAGGAGCTACAGCAAGGGGACTGTCCCACCGCACGTGTCCGAGACCTCCCAGCTCTACCCGGAAAGCAGCATAAACCCTGCCTAGAGATTTGCCCGGCACTGCGGCCTGTGCTGCGTCCTCCCAACTCACACTCCCCCTCCCTTCCCTTCCCTCCCAGTCCCCTGGGGGACGTACGGACTGGCTAATATTAGCGCTGGACTTTGAATGCTGCCCCAGGCTAAAGTTAGCAACTGCTGTCAGTCAGGGCATCCCACCTGGCCCTGAAGCAAATCCAGCTCCCCCACACTGTAACCATCGATGCCAAGCTAATGCATACCCCCTTCCTGCCTTGCCAGCCCCCTGCCTACCCCTGGGGATTCCTGCCATAACCCAAGTGACCCAGTCCCTGCACAGGCAGTGAGAGCATCCTTACTTACCACAATGTCGAGGAAGCGGATGCAGCGCAGCAGCTCAGGCCGGGTCTCGCAGAACTGACGGAAAAGCAGTCTGCCGATGGGCTGCTTCTCGCACAGGCTGCTGTAGTCCTTCTCTGCAAGAGAGCCCAGGAGGGGATGAGACAGGAGTGTGGCCCCAAGGTCCCATTCACCATAGCCGTGTTGGCATCTGCACAGATCTCATCCCACAAGGGGATGATCTTAGAGACCGATGGTCCTCCCAACACACAATCCTCCGTGCCCTGAGCCCCCAGCAATCCCTGCTAGCTGCTCAGAGCTGAATCAGCCCTTGCCATGTGCCACCCAGGGGAGAGGATCTCTCCCTAATGCATTACTGGCTGCAGGTCACCTTTGGTACCAGGAGAGACCGCAGGGCCAGGGGCTCTGTTTTCAGCCAGCAACAGCAAGCCAAGAGCAAGGGAAGAGGCAGTGGGTTCAGCTGCTCTGGTGATGGGCACAAGGCTCCTCCCTGGTGCAGGGCTGCACAGAGTCCCTGGCAGATCGGTGCCCGATACATCTGCAGCAAGGGCCTGTTGGCCACAGCAGGACTCCTGCAGCTAGACGGGCTCTGAGCTTGCATGTCATCCCACAAGGGATCATTTGCACTGGCAAAGGCCCAGGTAGGTGCGAGCCGAGTGCCAGCCTGAACACCTGCAGCTCAGCAGCAATCTCCTGCTGCCTTCATGGGGCTCTGGGGGGGCCCCGCTCCCTGCTGCAGATGGATGGCAGCTTCCCGGGGGCTTGGTTGGGCCTGTCCATTAGGCCAGGACTTACAGCTGCTCACTCCTTCCCTGGCGCGCGTGTGCGACCAGCCGGGGCTGCCCGTTCTCACGCTTCCCTCCCGGGCAGTTTTAAAGGGCGCTCAACCCCGTGCTGGGCCCAGCTGCAAACCACGAATTCCAGGAGAAACCCCCAGGCAGCTGTGGTCTGCGCTCTTCAGTGCACCAATACCCGGCTCAGCTGCTTCCCCCAGTTCCTCCCCTGCTGCCGAGCAGGAAACCACCCCCCTCTGGCCCCTGCACCCTCCATAGCTGCATTCCCAGGCCTTGTGCTGTGAGCCCAGCGTGCGGGCAGGCTTACGGGTCCCAGGGGAACAGACGGCCCAGCACACACTAGGGGAAGAGGCACCGACAGCTGCCAGGAGCACAGGAGAAAGCCCAGCTCATCTCCTACTCTGCTTCCTCCCCGAGAGCCCCTGCCTGGCACCTGGTCCCCGAAACCCAAGAGCTGGGAGCGCGCCTGCCCTCTCACACGCGGCACGTGCTGCCTCAACCGTGGGCACAATCCAGAACCACCTGTCCAAGGGGAGCCTGAATCCTTGGGAGACCCCAGGTGAAGGGAGCAACCTTGCCAGCAGTGGGGGACCCACCTCCCGATGCCCTGCCCCACCTTCCTCAGGCCTCAAATGAGCATCACTCTTCTGGGCCGGCAGGAAACAATCGCAGGTTTTGCTGCTGAAAGTCAGAGCGGAGCACGGTGCTGCCCAGGCTCCCGGCCCCCCTTGGGCTGGAGAAGGCAACAAGCCTGCCGAGCGTCTGTCGAGCCAGGCAGGAAGCAGTAGGAGGGCAGGAGGCTGCGGCAGCCTGGCACGCTCTCCTCGCATGCTCCGCTCCCTCCCCGCAGGCTCCAGCACACCTGCTGGCTGCCGTCACCGCACGCCCGGGCTCTGCACCGGGCAGGTTCTGCCAGTTCTTGCACCACCACCACACCTATGCCCCGTGTCAGGCCCTTCGTGCCAGCAGGCTCCCAGGAGCCGCTGGGCACGGGACAGGCTGCATGACTTACCGAGGCCCTTCCGGAGCTCGTCACACTGGCTGATGTGTGGGAACCGCAGGATCTCTTTCCATTTCTTGCTCCTGCCTTTCCGCTTACCTCCACCTCCTGCCAGGAGAGAGTGGGAGGTAAAGTGACTCAGGAGGCATCATCATGCACGACTCCAGCCTTGGCACAAGGGGCCCAAGCACTAGGGACACTCGTACCATTGCAACAGCAATGCCTCCCCCTCCAAATGGGGCCTCAACCCCCTGAGCGAGTTGTGAGGCACCCTAATACCTGGGGAAAGCCAGAAGCAGGGAGGAGAGGCGTGCCCAAGGGCTGACAGGCCAGCAGGGCTGAACTGGGCATAGCACCCAGCCTCCCACACTGGTGGGAGGGAAGAGACAGTGCCCACCACCTCCTGCCATCAATTTTGCCACTTCCCCGGGAGAAAAGCCACATGCCCAGCCTGCCAAGCTCCAGCCTGGTGTTGCGAGGCTAAGCCCGGGTACTAAAACACACTGAGAAGTGAGTGACATTACCCCCAGGAGCTGGGGGCAACACTTGTGCGTTCACAAGCAGGTGTGCCCTTCCAGCAGCACCAACACCACGGGGCAGGCTGCCGGCCAAGCTGACTTCCCCACTCGGAGGCGGGCTGCAGGGGCTACAACGGGTCTTCCTTGCAGGAGCTGATCTGGGGGAGGGCTCGTGCTTCCTCCCAGAACAATGCCCCGTCCTCCGCTCTAGCCTGCTCGCAGGCATCTGGTTTCCTTATCTCTCTGCTGAGTTTATTGTTCCTAGTGCCATTCCCTGCAAAAACAGCAGGCCCGGGACATGCTGGCAGCGATCACCCCCGATTGGCAGGAGACGCAGGCCTTGGCCTTGCAGGCTGGCCAGCGGGAGCGTGTGCAAACAGGGGGACCCTGCGCACATCTGGAAGAGGCAAAGGGATCAAACTCCCAGCAGCCGCTGGGGCTTGAGGCAACAAGAGATCATTTAAAGGCTTCTGTGGATTTACACACACATACTTTGCTTATGAAGTAACCCCTGTAGGGACCTGACATCAGCATTCATTCCAGTGGCTCAGGGCTGGTCGGCCGCCAATAACAATCTCGGCTGCTGACCAGCTGCCACCCCCCAGCCCTGTTACGTCAAGGTGAGCCGACAGGAAGCCAGGACCCGGCTTGCATGCTGCATGGCCGTGCCGCAGGGCCCCGGCCAAGCAGCCTGTCCAGAGGCCCTGGGGGGAGGGGGCCCAAGTTGTACTAAGTCCTCAAGGGAGTTGGCCAAGCAGAACTTCCTGCTGTAATCGCCGTGCTTCCTCCTGCATGAATAGGCCAACGTCAGAGCTGGGGCTGGGCAGTGCAGCAATGACCTGCAGGAGCCTTCCCCGAGTCCTGGCTACCTCCGCTAGCAACACCGTGGCAAAGGCGATCCTTGGTGCCTCTGCTTCTAAGGCAGCAAAGGCGAGGGGGTAGGACACCACAGATCCCACTTGGCTCACGCCTTCGCCCTTGTGGTTTAGGCTACGTAGACTCCTCCATCTCCCTCCCAAGCAGCACAGCAGGGGTAACAAGAGTGCTTGGTATCACCGCCTGGCTTTAATGCGGTCCACACACCAAGCTGGGTTCAAACAAGCCACGCCACAGCGGAGGTGGCTCAATAAGCAGCCCAGTCATAAAAGCAGGTAACTCCCGGCAGGGCTTTGCTTGGCAGCCACGGGGCCCCCTTCCAGAGACGGGGCCCGAACGACATTGCCGAGCGAACCAAGCCGAAAGGAAACACCCCGGGCACAGAGCAGCTTCAACAGTCTCACGGATGCAGCAGCAGGAGGGGAGACGTCGATCGCTCCCACAGCACCGCCCTTGGGCTGGGGAAGAGTGCCACGCAGGCTCTGCAGCAGGTGGCAAGCAACACACACGAGACGGGCGGTTTGCAGAAGGCGCTGCCCCATCCTGGGCGCAGACGCCAGGTTAGGAGCAGGGCGACTCTGGAGGAACAACAAGGTGCCACTCAGCGCCCGGCTGGCATGGCTCAGGCTCCCTCCGCTTCGGGAACTGGAGCCCGGGTGCAGCTGCCAGGGGATGCGCGGGTCCAGGAGGGGCGGCTCCGGCCGTGGTCAGCAGGGGGAAGGGAGCGGGGTGTGCTGGAGACAGGATTCCCAGGCAACTGCGCTCCAACGACAACTGTGAATAGCTGGACTGGGCTCTCCCGAGCCAGCGGGATAAACGCTTTTGTATCCGTAACATCCTTGTTGGCTCACTTGCTCAAGGGCTTCCCCAGCCGAGCGTACTACGTCAGCAGCACCATGGCAGACCTCCTTCCCGAGGTCACGATGCACAGCGCCGTGCCCCCGGGGAGCGTCTTCAAGGTGCAGCTGGGAGCAGCTTGCAGGCTGAAAGGAAGTTGGCCCCAGACAGGCTCTCGGCCTGTCCCGCAGAGCATCTCAGACAGCTGCAGGGGATGTGGGACCCCTGGGACCAAGCAGGGAGTCCAGCCGAGGCATCACGGGTGCTGGCTACCCCATGAGAAAAGAGAAATGGTGGAAATTCCTGTGGCCTGCAAAGGCCAGCGCCCCAGCACTGATGCTGCAGCAACCTCCACGTACATGAGGAGCAGCTGATTCACCACAAAGCAGTCGTATGGCAATTAGCGCTCCTTCATGTGGACTCCCTGAATCACGCAGCCCGTGTGACCTTCCAGCGCCCCAGATGCAGCTCAGGCCTGCACTGCTACAGATGGAGGCTCGAAGCAGAGCCCCCCAGTGCCCTCAGCCAACAGCAAGGAAACTTTCCCACCGCGGCCCCGCTGCCCTGGCTCAGGACTGGACAGAGGCCCTAGGCCTTGGAGGAGCTCCAGAAGCTGCCTAACGTGGATCATTAACACAACCGAGAGCTTGGATGCTGGTGTGAACATTATGGACCCAGCTAATCTGCTCACTTTCTCCCCTGGTTTATTCCTTTATCTTCTTTTATGGACTCCTGTGAGCTAATGATTCTCCAAAGCAGGAAGATGTAGGCACCCCCACACCTTATCGGAGCTTTATGGCCCTGTTTTCATGGGGCAGTTTGCCAATGGTTGTCCCAGACTGCACGGCCCTGGGGCATCCGCTGTTCACATGCAGCAGAGAAGGAGAAACCAGGCAAGAAGACAACGAGCCCTCTGGTTTGTCAAGTGCTACAGCCATGCCTCCAAGCCTGCGCTCATGCAGAAGAAATGCATTCCTCATTTCAAGTTCTCTTGCACTGGGGAAAGGAGCCAGAGAGACTGCGAGTAAAACCGGAGCGGTGACACATCAGCAGGTTTCTGGTGCAGCGTCAGCAGCTGCTTCAACGAAGGGGAATCACTGCTGGGAGGAAGTGAGGCAGAGCAAGCATGTAAACACAGGGCGCTGTTTACTACCCGGCCATGTGCTGCCGCGAGCAGGGAGCGGTTCCCACGGCCCAGCCAGGTGGAACAGCACAGGAGGCTGGTTCAGGAGGCCGAGAGGCCGCCAGCCTCTCTGGGACAGCCGGGCAGGCTCCAGGGCTGGGGAACGCAGAAGAGTCCGAGCTGCGCAACTGCTCAGCTGTCCCCGGACCTGCTCAGCACTACCAAACCCACCCTCGCCTGCACACACAGACTGTGCTAGGGAACAACGATAGATTTACCCCTTCATAGACCAGCCTGGGACAAGAAAGCCTGGCTGTGCCAACCCCAGGGCAGGGCCTGGCTCTGCTGACAGCCCCTCTTGAAGCATTTCTGCCAATGCATCAGAAATTCCCCCCTCCCCAACCCCAGCCTGCGCCCTCCCATGTCTACCCCAGGTGCTGGGCACCCAGGCACCCTCAGGCCTTTTTCCCTGGGCAAACACTTGCCCCACGTGTGCTTGGACAATGCTGAAAACTGCCTCGTTTGGGAGTATGGCCAAAACTAAGGCCACCGAGGCCAAGACCAGGTAGCCGCACACACATAGCCCAGGCTGCCACGTACACATGGACCCAAAGGAGCTCCTTCAGCACAGCTCTCCCACCACGAATGCACAGAGGGGGAAAGGCTGCCAGGCCTTGTCCTCTGCTCAGATGCCTGCTGTGGCTCCACTACATCCCTTTCCCTAAAGCTCCTTACCCTGCTCCTGGTTCACACCTCCTGCAACTGCAAGCTGCGCTCACACATGCCTCGCACTACGTGAGTGCCCGCTGTCTCCACCAGCAGGACAATTGCTCTGCGGCATGGGGGCCTGGAAAGCAGGGCAGAGCCACGGCACACAGGCCCGCCGGGACATGAGCCTGGAGTGCAGAGGCGGCTTCTCAACACGGAGGCTGGGGCTGGGGTTACTGCCAGCAAATCGGCCTTCTCCTTCCTTGGTCCCCAGCAGCTTGGACAGAGCCAGTCTCCCTTTAGTCAAGCTGAGTGGGATGCCCCAAGCAGGGCTCAGCCGATGCTCTGGACATCTCAACGAGCCAAACGTTGCAACCTCTCGTGTCTGGACAAGCCCCTCTCATGGGGCAACAGGAACTCGCACTGCGCTGGCTGCAAATCCCAGCCTGCGGCCCCGCAGCCTTATGGGGTGCTTGCTTCTCTGTTGCAGAGAGGCTCGTGCTGGTCAAGCCCCACCCCAGCTCTGCACAGGAACCCAAAACTTTCGGGCCCTTCCTCCCTTGGGTTTTAATCATGCTCGATAACAATCTCATTAAGGGCTATTCGTACTCCTCTTCTGTCGTCAGCACCCAGCCACGATAAGAACGTGGACGTCTGGAGTTCTAATAAAACGACATTCTTCCATGTGTTTTAAATTGATTTTCTATGGAGAGGGGTGCGAGTGCCTGGCCTTGCCAACCAGTCGCCGTTTCCTTTGCACTCCCTTCAGTTCGGTGCGTGCATATCCTAGAGCTGCTGAGAGATGCTGGGCTGAACTTCCCCACCCGCCTGCACCTCCTTCCAGCTGTTCAGCAAGGTGAGGTGCCAGTTTTACCTCGTGAAGGGAGAACTCGGCGGAGATGAGGTACATCAGCTTTGCCGAGCTGAGCTGGGCAAGAGTGCCCCAGGCGGTCCTGGAGGGCTAATCAGGGCAGTGCACACTACTGGGTGCCTGACCACTGCTATTCATCACGACGGCATCCAAAGTGCTTGGGCCTGAGCGGGAG